CCTATGGGAAAAAGCAGAGTCTTTAGGTATGAAACAACAGTTAACGTTGGAGATCAGTAATTATGAAGGATTTGTAAGAGCTGCTAGAGATGATGATACTAGTACATTAGATAATTTGTGGGAAAAAGCAGAGTCTTTAGGTGTGGAACAACAACTAATATTAGAAAAAGATGACTATGCAGTGTTCGTATTAGCTGCTTTTGGTGGTCATACCGATACATTAGATAGTCTGTGGGAAAAAGCAAAATCATTAAGTTTACAACGTAAAATGTTAGAAGTGGATAGCTATAAAGCGTTTGCATTAGCTGCTTCTAATGGTCATGTTTATGCATTAGATAATTTATGGAAAAAAGCTGGATCTTTAGGCTTGCAACGGGAAATGTTAAAAGCAAATAGCTATAGAGCATTTATATTGGCCGCTTCCAGTGGTCATACCAATACATTAGATAGTTTGTGGGAGAAAGCAAAGTTACCAGATATACAACAAGAAATGTTAAGAGCTGATAGTTATAGAGCACTTATATTAGCTGCTTTTGGTGGTCGTATTGATACATTAGATAATCTATGGAGAAAAGCAAAGTTACCAGATATACAAGGTGCAATGTTGGCAATTGGTAACTATGAAGCATTCAGGGCTGCTGCTTCTAATGGTCATAATAGTACATTAGATAATCTATGGGAAAAAGCAAAACCGCTAGGCTTGCAGAGTAAAATGCTAAAAGCTGATAGCTATAGAGTGTTCACATTAGCTACTGAAAATGGTCATACCAGCACATTAGATAATCTATGGGAAAAAGCAAAATCATTAGGTTTGCAACAAAAAATGTTAAAAGTAGGTGATTATTATGCGTTTAAAACTGCTGCTAAAAATGGTCATAATGATATATTAGATAACCTATGGGAAAAAGCAAGATCGTTACGTTTACAGTATGAAATGTTGAAAGCTAATAGTTATGAAGTCTTTAGAGAAGCTGCTAGAAATAATAAGATTGCTACATTAGCTAACTCACATTTTATGTTAGAAATCACTGATCAGGAATGGAAGGAATGTCTTAAAGCTATAGCAAGTTTTGGTGACAAGGGAGTATTTGATTCTGTATGGCAAAACCTTGTTTCCTCACTTAGATTTGACACAAGACAAGAGATTAACGAACTTCATAGAGAACTAAAACAAGGATTTTTAGAAATAAGAGAGCTAAAAACAGGACCATTTTCTAGATATGAGCTGCAGTTTACTAGATCAAAGCGAACAATTTCCAATGAAGAAAAAATGTCTTATAACTTACAACATAAAGAAATTACAAATAGTGCTACAAAATCAGGATCTTCTATGGAAGGTTTGCTTAATCTACTGAAAGCTTTTGTAAGTGTATCTTGTGGGCCTCAACGTGCTTTATCTGGTATTGTTTATCAATTTATCTCTCCTCTCTTGAGAGCTATGTCAACTGAAAGATTGGTGAATTTAACAGGGCAAGCTATTACATCAGTGCAAACTAATATATCACAACATAATAAGATAACAAGAAATAGTAGTTCTAGTAGTTTTCTAAGTGCTGAAAATATATCGGTTGTTGTTTGCGTTGCTGAAGCTTTAGGTAACACTTCAAGCAAACGTTATCAAGGTTTAAAGAGCCAAGGTGTAAATTTTGTTCCAAGTATTCAAACTGCAGTTAACTTTGCTCGTAAAGAGTTTGACTCATTTGTAGAAGATAAAATAAAGAACCTTGACTCAAAAGAGAAGGCTAGAATACGTACTGAAATTAAAAATGCATACCCAGAAATAATAGAAAGTTTTAGAAGAGGAGTTGAGTTTAGTGGTAATATTGGATTAGATGACGCTTTGAAAAAGTGTAAGAAATGTTTTTGTACAAATATACTTTCAAACAATGTGAATCCGTCAGAAAGTCAAATGCTAGAGAAAATAGACAATAAACCTGAAACTTGTTTAAATGATCCAATAATTTATAACCAGCTGCAGAGATTACCAGGGCGTTAGT